TCAGGGAGCTCATTTTGAGCCTGGATCCAGATTTATTGTTGATGCTGTTCATGGTAGAACACAGGTTTGCCTGCTGTGTCTAAAAGTAGCAGCAGCAGCAACCCAGACTGACAGCTCATTGGCTCATTTGGATCACGTGCAGCCTGGAGCCGGACGCTCACCAGGGCTTTACCGTATTAACAGGAGAAGAGGCGCAAGTGAAATTAGACACTGTCATCAGACAACATGCGGTAATTTATAAATGTTTTAAATCAGGTTGGGTCTGGATTAGCCAGCAGGTGGATCCGGGAAGCGGCCCACTAATCCGTAACCTCTGGCCCAGTGGATAGAGCAATACCCTGTGCTCTGAGAAGGCTGCAGTGCCCGATTCGATCCCCACAGCCTCCACTCTGGGTCCCTGAGCAAGACCCTTAAACTCACACTGCTACCCGGGCGCCGCACAATGGCAGCCCACCACTCCCCAAGGGGATGGGTTAAATACAGAGGGTGAATTTATCCAATATGACATCATAAAGTTAAATTATTATCTATTATTATTATTAATATTAACACCAAGGCTGAACAGCACCAAGTAAGTTAAGTTAAGAACACAGCTGGGATCTAATGCAGCGACTGCATGCATGAAAGATACATACGCTGCTGTTGCTCCATAGCAAGCCTGCACTTGTAGTAGCCGAAATGTTCTCCCCCAAACAGGAAGGAGAATTTGGGATTGTCCTTCTGCTTTTCCATCGTCATCTTTTCAAACTCCGGTCCATTTCGAGCAACAAACTGGGCCAGCTTGTCGATCACGTTCCTTAGCTCTTGGTCTACGAAAGAAAAAAAGAAAGTCAGAAGGATATCACAATAAAATCACCTTCTTCACTAAATCTAATTTATATAAATCCTTTTCTATTTCTATCATAATCAATGGGCTCAGATAAAAGGCTGAAAGAGGATTCCACTCAACTTCTCTTTATACTGTAAATAATTTAAATCTAAATAAGAGCATTTATTCTTGAATTGCGGAGGAAAGTGAGACACTTTGCCAACGGGACAAGAACATTTACATTTAAAATAAGAAAAAAACAATTACATTGTCTTATTCCAAGAGCATATCATCGACTTATCTTAGTTTAAGAGTAAACATTCTCATTCCATTGGCAGATCATCTCACATTAAGGGTAAATAAACTTAATTTAAGACATTTTGACTTATTTCCAGGTCGTTTTTGCAGTATAAGCATCTTAAACTCTGTGATGAAAACTTTTTACGTCTAAACCAGAAAGAAGCTGTTCCTGCTAAGAGACAAAATAAATAAAAATTAAAAAGTTAATGCTGTAAACCTGTGATGAATTATTTTACACTAAAGCAGTGATATTTTCTAACATATTTGGGTTTATTAAAATCAGTTAAATGAAAGAAATTAAAACATTACTTTAATTTATATGCTTTATGATTTGGTTTGAATTTAGTATCTTTTATGCTGGTATTTCTAATCAGTGCAACACTTCTACTCAAACACATCTATGCGAAACAGCAGCAATCAGCAGCTATGAGGCAGAGACAGCAGCTGGAAAACCTCCATCCCTCATTTAAACTGAAGAAGAAGAAGCAGGTTAAACAGTTAGCGGCTACAGCTAGCATGGTAGCAGCTAGCTTACCTTCAGGGGGGGTAGGGACGTCCATGGCGGCTTATGTCGGAGCAAACCGCTACAAACCAACATGCGGGGCTAATAGGATCCAAATATTGGACCTTTTAGGAGGCAATTCCCCTCAAAGTCGATAGATATATGTATGTCTGCAGTTTATTGGGATTTCATCAACCAAACGGAATGAATTTAGAAAACCAGCACGTAGAGCAACAATAGCAGAGCTCTGCTAGTACCGGAAACGCGCTATCTTCTTCTTCTGCTTCCTTCGTTTTCTTCTTCTTCTTAATTTTAATGGCGGTGCAACTATTGATGCATTACCGCCACCAACCAGTAAGGAGTGTGGATCAGAGGGACAGACACGCTAAAAAAAAAAGGAAAAAATTATATTTTTCTCACTAATCCTGTTTACAATAAATAATAAAATATAATCTAATAGATTGCATCGTAAGTAATTTTTCTTAAAGTGTTTATGAGACTAAACTGCTCTTTTCCTGTTTGACTCCTTCTCAGTCGTATTATTTGTCTATGACAGGGGTCCTCAGGGTTTTCCAGGCCAAGGGCCCCAAACCGATGGCGATGGAGTGGGGCCCCCCTAATTATGTATATTCCAAAAAATAGTGTTCTATCAAACTGGTCCTATAGTCACTCTATTACAGATGGAGTAATGTAACTAAAGTAATCCCTCCCTGGGATTATTAAAGTATTTCTGATTCCTGGTTGATGGGACAGGTGTTGTGAATGAAACGGTGTCCAGCTTGAAAGAGCTCCTGTGTGTCTCTGAATGTGAGCATTGATGACTGAAAGACATCTTCTGCCTCCATTGATCTGTTTACTACAGTCTGTTGGATTCATGTTAATGTGGATTTAAAGACATTTCAATTAGTGGAAAAAAATTGCAGGGGAGGGGGGGATATAAAAGAAAAAAGTCAAATCAACCAAAACTTTTGTGACCCCCATGCAGTACCTCCGTGGACCCCCTAGGGGTCACGTACCCCCTGTTGAAGACCTCTGGTCTATGATATTTCCTACATGTTCTATTGTTTCAGTTTCTTCACAGACGTCACAGCTTCCTGTCTGATGTTTCCCCGTTAACTGTTACATTAAATTAAATCCTGCATGTCCCGACCGTAGAATAGTTATAATCCTTTCCTGTTTTCCATTCCTTCCAATTTTTCCTTCTCTAACCCTCCTTTGTATTCTTTAAAGTAATCAGTCATTACCTCAGTCAGCTGAGTACAAAACATCAAGAGGAAAACAACAATGAAAGGGACAAGAAGAGAGGGACAAAATCTAGAACTGTCACAGTCTTGGTTCTGTTATGTTTTTCTTTTGAGTATTCAGTTTTACTTTGCTCAATGTTTTCTAGTTTTAGTGGTTTAATTCTTATTTTGTTGTTTTTTTCTGGTTATTTTTCAGTTTTCAGATTTTTATTTGTTGCCCTCTGCTGCCCTCTTGTGTTCTCCTTTTTCCCTAGCTCCTTTCCTGTCTGCTCTGTTCACACCTGCTCCCAATCTGCTCGTTAGTCCTCTCTTTGTTTCAGTCTCCCATAAATACTCTCCTTATGCAGGACCTGAGTGCTGGTTCCTCGTCTAACTTCCTCCAACTCCGTCTTTCTGAGTCTTACCTCGTCATGATTGGTTTCTGGCTTAACTTTTTTATTGTTGGATTTTTGGATTCCTGCCTGTTGTCAGCAGGTCCTGTTGTTTGTTTACCCCACATTAAATCTACAAAAGCTCATCTCTGCCTCCCTGCCTCTGCATTTGGATCCTCAAACCACAACCGAATCCTGACAAGAACAAATAATGGATATCTATTCTGTTACCATTTCTCTGTATAATGGGTCTGTTTTATTTATTTAATTATTTTTAGAGGCACTCCTCCTATCAGCGGTCATGGCCACCCCACTCATCAGTGTAAATTGTAGTAGCATAAGTTAGTATTTCATCCTATATAGATATATGTCTGTTAAGCCTGGAACTCAATGCTATTTTTGACATTTGAATTGAAAAAGCTTCCTGGATGGGAAGCTTTGGAAACAAAGTCCAGTGGATTGTTTTTAAACGTTTTTGGAACTGATCTGATTCTGCACGGCCAGCGATGTAAAACATTAATAATCACACAATAAACCAGGATATGAGTAGGTGTTTGATTTAGTCTGATTTCTAGAGGAAGGTTTACCACTATAGTAGATTCGAACCCTGAAATGATGGCTTTTAGTTTCAGTAGCCACCCAAAGATTTTTAGATTCTTCAGTCAATCGTACAGTCTTCTAAGACGTTCAAATTCTTGACGTACCCAATGAAGGAATTCCAGACGGACTCAAATGGATCCCATTTGCCCTTTAATACGTACGTCATTTTTTCCAGAGGGAAGGCAGATAACCTTTTTAATCATTACGTTTTTCAGTGGAATTTCTAGATTGATCATTATTGGATTATAGCCTTGGATATCCCATGATTCATTGCCAGACCAAGCAAGCCTGCATGCACTTAAATGAATAAAGACCCACCTTAGACACAACAGCAGATGATAGATGTTTTCATCTGGGCATACTCAGTGTTAAGGAGGACATATTCCATAAATATTGGAGACTTTGTTAAACATTTAGCTTCATTTCACCAGAACCGCAGAATTTTGCTGTTTGGATTGTTTTTGTGAGCTTGGTGTTGCCATATCACTGGGCAGTGGTCAGCTATAAAGGGCTGGGTGTTTTTGTTTTTTTTCCCCCATTATTATTATTATTGTGGTGCATTTAAACGCTGCTTGTCCTGCCTTGTTCCGATTTGATCAGTCCATGGAGCAAATTGAGTACTAATTCTATTTTTGCTGTACACTTAACTTGTAATCCATTAAACAAAACATAGTTTTATACATTTTTGGAAAATAAATAAAAATTCTAATTCAATCAATGTACAATTTGTTGAAAATAAGTTTTGTTTGTAGTCCAAATGAACCCTTTATACACTACTCAAAACAACTAAAGGATCACTTTGTAATCAGAATAAAGCATCAAGTTAATTAAACTTGTGGGATATTGCTTTGGTCAGGTCAGTAGCAGAGGGGGGTGTTAATCAGTTTCAGCTGCTTTGGTGTTAATGAAATGAACAACAGGTGAACTAGAGGAGCAACAACGAGACGACCATCATAACAGGAATGGTTTTACAGGTGGAGGCCACTGACATTTCTTCCCCTCCTCATCTTTTCTGACTCTTTTTCACCAGTTTAGCATTTGGCTAGGGTCACTGTCACAACTGTTAGCATGAGGCGCTACCTGGACCCAACAGAGGTTGCACAGGCAGTCCAACTCCTCCAGGATGGCGCATCAATACGTGCCATTCCCAGAAGGTTTGCTGTGTCTCCCAGCACAATCTGAAGAGCATGGAGGAGATTCCAGGAGACAGGCAGTTACTCCAGGAGAGCTGGACAGGGCCATAGAAGGTCTACAACCCATCAGCAGGACCGCTATCTGCTCCTTTGTTCAAGGAGGAGCAGGAGGAGCACTGCCAGAGCCCTACAAAATGACCTCCAGCAGGCCACTGGTGTGAATGTCTCTGACCAAACAATCAGAGACAGACTCCACGAGGATGGCCTGAGGGCCAGTCATCCTCTAGTGGGCCCTGTGCTCACTGCCCGGCACCGTGGAGACCAAACAGAAACCATTCATGGTTGATTGAAATAACTAAAGATGATTCCATTGAAATTTTCTTGGATTGGAAGGAAATTAATCCGTTTAAACCAGTAAAGTCGTGTTTTTTCTCAGACCAACTGCTTTAAAGGCTAAATGGAAATATATCCTTGGAGCTTCAGGCAAAAAGCAGGAAAGGACCTTCAGAAATCAGGCCTGTAGGGATATCTGGTAATAAAGGGATAATTAGAGAGAAAACAGGGGTTTAGGTGACTGAAGGCTTCGCATTAACAAGATAATGTTTAATATTTGGCTTCCTGATGGGACAAAGATGCAGTAGAAGAACAAAAAGGTTCAGTTTACATCAACTTTAAATCCCCAAAGTAAAGGATTGACCTCATGTAAGGAAGAAGAGCATCTTTTTAACGAGGATCAATGCTTTGCAGGTTTACATAAAACACAAAGAGGCCAGTCTGATGGAAACCTGCTACCTGCAGCCATGTTGGATGCCCTTTCATGTTCAAAGTCCTCACAGATTCATAAAAAACACAAAACATTCATATGAAGCTAAACATCATTAGACCGCGTTTTTCAAACAAACATGTTAGCTTTATTCTTGACGTTTTTTCAACAACAAATGTAAAGTTTTCCACATTCTTATGACCAACATGCCTCCTGATCCATGAGGGAAGGAGCGGGAAAAGGAATAAGAACTAGCGCTCTATGGTCGGAGCATCGTGTCTCTGCGGGCGCTAAGATGAGGCCTCCAGTCTGACCAGTCCATCGGCGTACTGGAACTTATCGCTGTTTTCATATTCCAGCATATCCAGAGCGACCTCACAGCTTTCCTTGACGACACGTTCCTGGTCTTTAAGGTAACTGTGCAGCACAGCCAGGCACTCCTCCCTCCCTATGGAGCCCAGAGCCTCGGCCGCCTCGTGTCGGACCATGGGGTTCTCCTTGGAGCGCTCCAGAGCGGCGCGAAGCGCCGGTATGGCCGCTGGGTGCTGCATCTGCCCCAGAACGTAGCCGATTTCATGCCGGAAGAGCGCGCTGGAGCACTGCAGCCCTATTGACAGAGACGTTCACCTTCATTACAGAACACCTGATTTCACTGCAAACATTTCTGTGCCGGATCCTACCGTCTCCCAGGGCGACCACCGCCTCCTCGGTACCAAGGTTCCTCAGAGCGAACATGGCGCGGTAGCGCTCGAACAGCGGCAGACTTTCATCCAGCAGCACCGAGCGCAGCTCCGCCACGCTCCTCCTCGCCGCCGGAGGAGCCGGATCCACGGAGCAGTAGGGGTTCTTATCCGTGCTGCCGTCCTCCAGCTGCGTCTCTCCGCCGCCGAGGAGCCATTCCAGCCGACGGACTGCCAGCTGACACGTCTCCGCCACCTGAGCATCAGGCAGGAAAAGGAAACTTTGGAATGAGAACATCTGGAGGCGTTTTTGTTTGAGAGATGACCTTCCTGAGCTAACCTGTGCTCCTTTAGCATCTCGAAACATTAAAACCTTTCATTCAGAATGGAGGCTGATGAGTCCGTCCATCAGAGCAGCTGTTCACATCAACCTCAGTCTGCTGCATGTTTAGAGCTTGGTTTATACTCGCCGCGTCACACAGGGCGCACGCCAAAAGTCACGCAATCTGCTATCCCCACCCGCGACTTTTCACCGTGAGCGCAGCCTTGGCACAAGGTCATGCATTCTGAATGTTTGTAATTTGGTGCCGACTGTGCGCGCGGTCTCATTCCAAACGGGAGGATCTAAAGTTGTTCTCCATGAACAAGTTTTATTGCAATGTTACGCCTTTCTGCTGGAAATGTTACAGCTTTATTCTCCTGATTTAGTTTTATTCTCATAACATAATGAGAACATTATTCTGCCTTTTTCTTCCACCGTATATTTCTGTGTAAAACATCTATTCTTCAACAATCATCAATTCTTAAACATTTTCTAAGTGGGACATAAACTGTTTCTGCTCTTTTTTTTCTGCATTTCTGCTCCTGATGTTGATAACTGCCCCCCTGTGGTTTTTGCGAGTACTGCACCTACATCCAGATCACCTATCAAAGGGCACGGCGCCTCGCTGGGTTCTCGCACAGACCAGCGTGAAAACCCAATGTGTGAGTATATCTGGGCCTTCAGTCTATAGAAGCTCTTACCTCTATGACAGGATCCTGACTGTACTCTTTGAGCAGGTCCAGAACCGCTGAGTCACCGATGGCCCCCAGGGCCTCTCCTGCAGGCCGACAGCAGAACATCAGCAAACAGCAAACAGTGGCCACTCCAATATTTCTAGTGGCCCCATCTTCTTCCCCCGCCATGAAGCATTTCTGGCGTCAGCATGGGGCTGTGACGTCATCACCTAGCTCTGGGTTACGGTAAAGAGAATCAATTGGACTGAAATATTTCTGTCTTTATGTCTCAGATTATCAGAACATCATCAGCAAAGCTTGTGATCAATCGGAGGTTTTCCTCTCTGATCGGGAAGCTCTGAACCTTTGTGACCTCATGGCTGCTCAACCTGGCTGGCATTGAGAAAGAAGAATTAGCAACATTAGCTTCCAAATGTTAGCGCCTTTTCTAGCATTCCTGATGTCTTAAAGAGAACTGAGAACATTAAAACCTCCAGTTCAGGAGGAACAGCATGGTTGCTGATGGCCCCTCACTGCCCCGGCAGCTGGTCATAGACCGACCATCTCCCTTTCCTCATGGCGGCCATCCTTCTGCACCTGCTCAGCATCGGTTTTTACCTGCTTCATGCCGCACCATAGGCTCCTGCTTGGCATCTTTGAGGACGGCCGTCAGAACAGGGATGGCCCGTCTGTCCTGCATCTGGCCCAGGCAGTACGCCAACTCATGCTTCAGTAACGCCGAGTCATCCCTGAAGGCCTTGCTGATCCACTCGATGGCCTCAGCACCTAGCGGGAGACGTTCATGCAAACATTTTAGAAGATCATAGCAGATGGCCGACTGACAGAGATCTGATTGTTCCTTATGTTCCTAACAGAGCACTTCGCTCTCAATCTGCAGGTTTACTAGTGGTTCCTAGAATTTCTAAAAGTAGAATGGGAGGCAGATCTTTTGGATATTGGTCATTTATTCTCCAGTTTTATATTTTTAAAACATTTTACAATATTTTATCC